AATGTACTATGCTTTTTTTATGAACTAAAAAGTAGAAAACAATTTTTCCGAGGCTCTAGCTTATTACATGCGCCCGACGTTTTTAATTTTAAATCTCTAAAATTGTAAAAATTTTAAAATAAAAATTTATCAGGGTTAATTGGCGGCCGCTGTGGTTAACAATGCGAGCTACCATTCCGCAGAGCCTTGGTTCAAGCCTGGTTCAACCCAAAATCTAAAAATGAAAAGCAAAAAAAATGTTTTTTTCTAGTAGTGGTCACCTCTCGGCAGTCATTGGCAAACCTCCGAGTGTATTTATGCAATGAAAAAGAGCTTCCCATAAAAATACAATCCGCGTACGGAGTCGGGGTAAAACTGTAGGTCCCTCCTCTTTGTGTGAAAACATCAAGGCTCACGTCACACATCAGGGGAGAACCTCGGCAAAACACTTACATATGTGTAAGCGCCAATCTATTATTATTATTATTAATTTTATGAGTACAGAAAAAAATTATACACTATCACAGAAACAAAAAAATGTTTAGACACTTTTATATAAATTCCAATTTAGTCAAATTTCGGTTGCTCAGATCTGAAAAAGGCGCTATCACTTAGTTCCAAATTTTTTTGAACTAGTAAAGCACATTAAATTTTATGTCCTCCATGCCAACAATATTTCCAAGTAGTTAACATTGATTTATCGACAATTATCAAAAATGTTAACATAATTTCCAAAAAAAAAGTTACTTTCAACACGAAAGTGGTTTCTTTCTTGGATGTCAAAGTATGATCTCCTATATATCTATATCTCCTTCTTCTTTGGCTCTGTAACTGCCTAAGCGATTTTGGTCGGGTTCAACAAAGCACGCCAGTCGCTCCTCTTCTAGTCCAACTGACAACAATTAGAAATGCCAAGTGAAGCCAAATCCTTCTGCACTTAGTCTTTCCATCGCAGTGGAGGCCTCCGTCTTCCTCTACTACCACCAGCGGGTTCCGAGTTGAATACTTTCAGAGCTGGAGCGTCGTTGTCCATTCGAACGACATGACCAAGCCAGCGGGGCCGCTGTATTTTAATTCGCTGCACTATGTCCATATCGTTGTAAAGCTCATACAGCTCATCGTTCCATCGTCTGCGGTACTCGCCGTCGCCAACGCGTAAAGGCCCTAGCTGAATTTTTCGACAGTGGCGCCAAAAATCCCTCGTACGTACGCTCCAGGCGCTCATAGAAAAGATCCTTGGCGCCTTGTCCTTTTGCTCCGTGGGAGAATGGGCGCAGATTGGGGAGATGTTGAAAAATCTGGCTTTGATGCGAATTGTGGCTAGATGTTCGCCCACCAGGTTGAACGCCAGTACTCGGCGACGGAGTCTCTCTCCCACCACAAATCCCACACCGAATTTGCGCTCCTTTACGTGGCAACTATAGTAGACGCCGCAAGGCTCCAGGCTTACCTTTCCTTTCCCCGTCCATCGCATTTCTTGGATGGCGGTGATGTCAGCCTTAGTCTTCGCGAGGACATCAACCAGCCGGGCAGAGGCACCTTCCAAATTAAGGGTCCGGATATTTCAGGTGCATACCCGCAAATCATAGTCCTTAACACGTTTGCCGTGGTCGTCATCAGAAAAAGGGGGTAATATCCGAGGCTGTTTTTTGTTTTTCATTGGTCGGGGTTTTGACGTAGCGGGACCCCACCAGAGCTGGGTCGTAATGATTCCTTTAGGAATTAAATCACTCCCAATTACAGATTACAAGGAATTGTAATTAGGAATCAATTCCTTCAGTCCACAGCAAAGGAATCGATTACTTTTTCAATTCCTTGAAGTAATTTCAAAAGTAATTGGGTTTTTCTTTAATTCCATTACAAGGAATTTCATATTGTAATTGGAATAAATTACGTGCTAGTAATGTAATTTTTTTTTCCAATTCCTTTGAAAGGAATTGAAAATGTAATTGATTTTTTTTCAATTCCATTACCTGGAATTGCAAGAGTACTTTAGTTTTTCCAATTACTCAAAGGAATTGTAAAAGTAATCGAGAAACTGAAAGTTCATTCACGAATATACAATGTGGAATTTTTGTTGTGGTCAAAGATTAAAATCGAAAGCACACATTGGCCATCTTCTATGTATATCTATATATATATAAAAATGTTGTGTTCGTATGTCACGGTCATCAAAACCCGAGAACGGCTGAACCGATTTGAATAATATTTTTTTTATTATTCGGTATAATACCAGAACCAATGATATCGCAAAAATTTGGTGGGTTGCCACCTATTTTAAAATTGAATTAATTTAAAATCAATGAATTATTACAATATGGGTATTAAGTTAAAGAGGTTTATGAAAGATAACTGTTGGAAGTTTTTTCGACGAGGGTGGCCTCCTATTTGAAAATTTAAACTCAGTCAAATTGTTAAAAAAAATGAAATATTGCCATGTGGGTGTCAAACTAAAGAGTTTTAAGAAGGCTTACTGCCGAAAATATGTTTGAGGAGGGTTGCCATCTGTTTGAAAATTTAACTAAATTACATTGATAAAATAAATAAAATATTACAATATGGGTATCAAATTAAAAAGGTTTGAGAAAGATAACTGTTGGAAATATTTTTGAGGGGGCTGCCACCTATTTGGAAATTGTAACTCAGTTAAATTGATAAAGTAAATGCAATGTTGGCATGAGGGTGTCAAACTAAAGAGTTTTAAAAAGGCTTACAGTCTACCATGAACACTTCCAGAAATATGCAATATGAAAAGTTCGGTTTATATGGGAGGTGCCACACGCCATTCTCCAACCATGCAAATTTTTCTCCATGAGTATGGAATTGGTCTTATATATTTATATAGATATCACCATACCCAGTTCTAGTCCTCTACCACAAATATATGCAGTTTGAATAATTCGGTTTGTATGGGAGGTGCCACGGCCCCTTTCTATATCGAAACTTTTTTTAGCTATAACCATCCTTGGAAAGTCTGCAGTAGATTCCGAAATTTCAAAAAAACGGTACGGCCTTTCTCGAGCTTTGCGAACAGAAAAAAACGCCTTTCAAAATATTGTGGCGAATACTGCGGCAACACAAAGCGAACAACAAGAAATAGGCAGAATGTTCGAAGAATGACGTAGAATGTTCCACAAAGAGAAACGTCAAGTTGGAGAACACTGCGAACAGCGAGAGAAAGGGAATGAGCGATAAACTTCAGAATGTTCTAGAGTTGCCATGAGTGCCAGCGCAGGTATATAAGGGCGCCGCCACCGCGAGGTGAGTTAGTTACGAGTTACAAGTCAGCAAGCTACAAGTAAAGTGAGCGGAGAATTGAGTTGCGAATAAGCAAGCTATAAGTTTAATTGTGTTAACAAGTAGTAAAGCGTTGTTATTGCTTTAACAAGTATTGTAAAGTGTTTTTACTGTATTAGCAAGTATTGTAAATTGTTTGTTGTACAATAAAGTTAATTGTACTACAATTTGGTCATCGTTAGCATTTATTTAACAATCCAGCGATATGAGCCCGAGTATATTTGGGAAATCCCTCAAGGTTTCGAGGATAATCGTAACAATATATATTAGTATAGACTAGCCAAACTCTGCTTGTTTTGCGGGTTAAAACACTACTACCGATGAAAATCGATGGATAAATAAACAAGTTTGCAAGGGTTAAGTGAAAGTGCAATAATTTTTTGTATGAAATACTAGCAGGAAATTTAACAAACCTATTTCAATTCAACAGTAAAAATTTTTTTTTTATAAATTTTTCGATTACTTTTTAAATTACTTTGAGGAATGGAATTGGAAAAAAAATCAATTACATTTTCAATTCCTTTCAAAGGAATTGGAAAAAAAATTACATTTTCAATTCCTTTCAAAGGAATTGAAATAAAAGAAATTACATTACTAGCACGTAATTTATTCCAATTACAATATGAAATTTCTTGTAATGAAATTAAAGAAAAAAACAATTCCATTTGAAATTACTTCAAGGAATTGAAAAAGTAATCGATTCCTTTGCAGTGAACTAAAGGAATTGAATCCTAATTACAATTACTGAGGAATGTAATTGTAATTGTAATGTAATTGCATTTACCCAGCTCTGGACCCCACGCAGGCGAAGTTTTACGCCTTCTCCCTTTAGCTCGCTGCTAAACGAGTGTTTGGTTGCCAGCCAGAGGATACGTGGGTATAAATATCCGTACGTTGTGAGGTGCAATTTGAACCGTACATACAAGAATCACTTCTGGCCACTCCCAGGTGATTGGCAGTCAAAAGCTTTCCACTTATGCGCACGGAACCATCCTCCTACAAAAGTATAAAGTTTTGACAATTTTACCTTCTACAGTTCAAATTAAGATTCAGATGTATTTTTACCGCAATAAATAATCGAAATTTTCACGAAGCAATTAAACGCATCCTTAACAAACTTAAATCATCTTTAACCAACATTTCCCCATTACACTTTTACAATAACAAGGCCTCAAGCAGAGTGCATTGTGTAAGTATTTATTACAATCCATCAGCTAGTCTATGCTCCATTAACTTTTTTATGCAGGAAATTTATTTTATTTAGAAATGTACCCTGCAGTGAAACTCCAAACTAGTCAGGAAAAATACTAGTTTACCTACACAGACTTTACACAGAGTTTACCTACTACAGGTCTACAGACAATTGAATCAAAAATTGTTCCCGAAAACACTCATTTGTTTGTAAGTAATAACTTTGTAAATATAATGCTAGACGTTATAATAATTAATATATTTGGCAGATTACCACTATGAGGACATTATTTAACCATTCGGTGATGAAAAACTTAACCTATGTGTTGACAACCGAAATAATAATGGCATATAATATCGACGGGACGCACGGCAAGAAAGGTCTGAAGGAGTTCAAAAATTTTTACTCATCCTTGTTGGGTAAATAGCATTATATTATTTTTTAATTTATTATTAATTATTACTATTATTTTTTATTTTTAACAAATTGCATTCAGATATTAATTTTTTAATTTATTATTTTTTCTTCGTAGAATCGATAAATAGCATAACGAGTTGTGATGAGCCTGATGTGCAATGTGGCTGCACAAGAAGCGAGAGTTCCAAAAACGAAGTTCAGACAAAGCTGTGCAATCAACAAGCCAAACTACAGATAACAATTAAGAATATTTAACAACTGCATGAATTATTTCTTTATTTTATTTTTTATCAAATTTTTATCACTTTTATAATTTTAAAAACTATTATACAATTTAAAAAAAGGACTGAAATGTACAAAGATAATGAATTTATTTTGGTTTAATGAAAACTTTTATTTATATTTAAGTTTTTATTTAGTAAAGTTGTTCCTATCCAAATCTGGAATTTTTAGCGTTAATTATTACTTTTATAAAATTTTAAAAAGGACTGAAATGTGCAAAGTAAATGAATTTAGTTTGATTTAATCAAAACTTTTATTTTTATTTAAGTTTATTAAAAAATTAACTATAGTATTTATTTTATTTTCAACCAAGATGCTTTCTTTTCCATATTTAATGTTATTAGAAAATATAAAAGATATTTAATGAAAAATGCATTTTAATTTATCTTCGAAAGTTTGAAATATTTATGTACATATTTATTTTTCTTTTCAATTAATAATACTTAAAAAATTCAACACTAATTATTGGCAAATCTATGGTTGCTAAATAAAAATGTGTAATATATTAAATTATACTTAATAAAAAGTTTTTTTTATTGTATATTCATGAATGTATTTTATTTTTTAACTCCCAAGCTATTGGTTTTGGTCTATAATTGGCCTAGAATTTGTTTGAGTATTCTGAACTGCTATGAGATTGGTATATTTGGTCCATAATTGGACTAATATGATTCTGTCTATTGTGAACTAGTATGAGACTGGTATATTTGGTCCATAATTCGACTAGTATGTTTCTGTCTTTTTTGAACTAGTATGAGACTGGTATATTTGGTCCATAATTCGACTAGTATGTTTCTGTCTTTTTTGAACTGGTATGAGACTGGTATATTTCTGATCGAAATCTGACAATTGCCATCTCGTAGGACATCCCCATGTTAAAAATACCAGTTGCTTGTATGGAAAAAAGATAGTTGGCTGACTAGTTGGGCATGCGGTTCATACTAGTTGTGAGGTAGCTTACAACTAGTACATTTGACTGCAGGGTATGTACACATGTCTGTTTGTTCATATCCTTGATTGTGCATTGCATTTGTACTTGAGCGGGGTGAGTGTATGTGTGGAAGGCCGGCAGGCGGACAGGCCGGCCGTCAAGCATTTATTTGCGCTATCCATTCATCCATCATAGCCCCTACATAGGTACGTCTCATCGGTGTACCCGTACTAGACTGTGTATGCTCACCGTGTGCGCTTAATTTGTTTATTTGTGTTTATGCTCAAATACTGAGAAAGCACATACATACTCGGATGGCTCTGTACAGCACACTGATATAAATATACATACATATGTATATGTACTTATAGCCATAAACAATACCTACAAAAGTGTGTGTAGTCCACGCAACCCAGTGACCATGTGCATGTTAGCTCCACCGACATACATACATATATATTTAGTTACATATGTAGGACTATTACAGTGTGCTTTTTGGTCAGATAGACAGATGCACAGATGCTTGCGTCGGCATGGATTTATGAATTAAAAACTTTTTTCTACTTTGTTGAAAACTTTTCACCCACCACTTCAATCTGTTCTGCATTCCGCTCAAAGGCGAAAAGAGTAATTGCAAACATTCCTAGGTAGCTTTCTAAAATTTAATTAAAGACCGTATCATTCAAGGAATTTTAAGGATTTTAAAAATATTTTGCAATTATGTAGCTTTACAGCATAATATATGAGAATAATAAAAATGAAGCTTACAATGCAATTCTGGCTAAAATAGTTGCAAGTCTTTTGTAAAAAAACTGAAAGACAGTAGGCAAGAAGGTTTGGATGATTTTCTTTATTCTGGCACTTACAAATCAAAGGCTATCTTGCCAACTTTCGTGGTGGAAAGCTCCTTTAACAAAAAGCACATATGTATGTTCTAAATGGAGATGTTAATTATTTTGCTCGCGTTGCTCCAACAGTCGATCCGAGGTTCGAATCTTCGTACAGCGGATTTTTTTTTATACCCGAGCGCACTTGTGCACAAGGGTATTATAAATTTGTTCGCATAACGGTTGTTTGCAACACCCTAAAAGAATCAAGATGGATATAGACAAATTTATACATAAATGACCAGAATGAAAAGAGAAGTCGATTAAGCTATGTCTGTCTGTCCGTCCGTCCGTCGGTCTGTCCGTGTACACGATAAGGCGTGCAAAAGTTGAGATATCTCAACGAAATTTGGTATATAGGTTGCCCTTTATCCAAGGTAAGTTGCTATTGAAAATGGGCGAATTCGGACTGTAACCACGCCCCCTTCTCATATAACGGTATTTTCGAAAAATTCAAAAACTATGATATTTCAGTAAATATTGGATCTAAATTGTTGACAATTAGTATGTGAAGTAGAATTTTGGTGCAAAATAATATTATTAAAAAATTTTTGGAAAAGGGGCATGATCCCGCCCAGTTATGATGAAATACTGTGGCTTAGTAGCCGGTTCACCAATCCGTACCAAACTCGGTACGAGCCTTGCCACGGGAAATAGCCACGCCCAGCTCCCATATAACGGTAATTTACAGAAACACGTAAACTGAGATAAATCAGTAACTACTGAAGCTAATTGACTCATCGAAATCGATTGTTGCAATGACCACTGAGCAAAAAATTAGATTATTATAAATTTTTGGATTTCGGGCGTGGCGCCACCCACTTATGACCACAAATATGTATCTCGGTAACCGATTAATCAATTTTTACCAAACTTGGTGTATCCAATAACCCTGGTACGACAAAGCAGTTTGTTGAAAATTATTCACATCGAACTAAAATTGCACCGGTTTCCCGTATAACGGTAATTTTCGGATATACGAAAATTTCAATATTTCAATAACTAAGGACGTTAATTTACTCCAAGTTAATACTTACAACAATTTCTGAAAAATAAATAAGACTATTATAGACTTTTAGGTAGTTTAAAGAAAGTTGTAACGACGATATTTGATACCTGCGCCGGGTATATAAAATTCGGTTTCACCCGAACTTAAGTAGTATACGTTTTTTACTTGTTTTTTTTTTTGCTTTTAGTTATAGATTTTTCGGTTGTAAAATCGAAAGTTATCTATGTATAATTAATTTCATTTAATTATATAATTATAATTGTATGTCCTTTTTTTGATATTAAAAAAAGTCAGTTATAAAATTGAATACTCTACGATTTTAACAGCAGCCAAAATACTCGCGTAAGTGAGCTGAAATTGTATTCATATATTTATTTGTATGTAAGCACGTAACTTCACATGTACTATACGCATTTTCCTCTCGCTCAAACCACTCATCCAGACATCGTCGATGAAAAATGTGATAAAACTGTCGATGCAGCAATCAATTGGCTTGCAATCCGATTTTGCAACTACCCTTTTTAAAAAAAAATCCCTGCGCTCATATGAATGACTGGTGGCTGAGCTTCAATTGCAAGTTCTGAGAAAACAGCATTCTCAATGCATTTAACTGAATGTTAATGAATCGAGTTCTCCCATTCCTCGCATATATGTGTAAGTAGAAACTAGGGATGTTAATTTTTACGATTTTTTCGATCTCGGGATTTTTGGGACATCGGTCATAAACTCCCGGGATCCCAGGATTAGTCCAGGGATTTAGATTTTCATTATTTTTCAACAACTTAACATGAAAATAAATGCGTTTGAAACATACTTTATTATTTAAGTTACAAAATATTTCATTACTAACAAAACAAAAGATAGTAATTAAATTTAAATGCACTTGGAACTTTTAATTTAATGGGCTATACTTATAAATTGCGTACCTAGAATTTTTCTAAAAATCTGTGTAAATAGATTGAAAGAGATTGAAACAAAAAAAATCAAAACACACCAAGCAATCAATATACTCACGACACTATGGGCCAAATATAGTAAACCTGCGATTTTAGTTTTAGAATTTTTTTTAATTAGAACTTTATAATTTCAAAGATATGATAAATTCTAAAAATTATTTTAAAAATTCTGTGCAATGTAGAATAAAAATGGGTACCAAATGAAAGAGGAAATTCTGTAGGATTTAAAAAAATTTTAATTTTCACCAGGACGAATAGATATTGTAAACGCCCTTTTAATTGTCCATTTTATACTAGTCCTTAACATATAATGTTTTCAAAACAAATATTGCAAAATTTCAAGAATAATTAAGGATAATATATTTAAGGACGTTTTCAATACCATATGCACCAAAAAATTTAATCTGTTCTTTCTCTACAGAATTTTCTCTTTAATTTGATACGCATACTGTTTTCCTAAGCACATTGCACTAAATTTTTTAAACCATTTTCTGAATTACTCATATTATTCATTTTTCAAAGTCCTTTTAAAAAATCCTGACGTCAGAGAGAAAAACTTAAAACCCAATTTTACTGCATATATTTGGCCCATGGCTTCGTGAATATATATATACTTTTTGTTTGTGTGTAAAATTGCCTGTCGCACAGTGTTCTGTGTACGTATAATTAGCTTGACATTTATAAAAAAACATTAAATATTAAATAAACAAAAGAAATATAGCAACAATTGGTCAACATAAGGCGTTTCTATTATTGCCACCATTGCAAACTACAAATCCCGAAAATGCCGGGATTATTTGCCAAGGCACTTAAAAAAGGCCGGGATCCCGGGATTAATATCTCTATTAGACACATTGAAAAAAATGGAGAAGTTAACTGGCACCCCAACGTCATTTGTCATACACTTATCGAAGCTCAATAAAAACGTTTACGAATGGGAAGCATGGAATTGGCTTTTTGCTGCTCTTTTGGGTATCCAAATGGCTTGTAATGGTGTTAAATTGTCATAAATGCTGAAGTGCAAGGAATTTTTAGTGTGCGTGAGATATGTATATGTGTATGCACATAACTATGTGTGTATGTAAGTATGTACA